CACACCACCACCAAATATTGGCAAGACGCGACAGGGACTCTCATGGCATTGCGAGTGGGAATACAAACCGGTAAACCACGTGGAAGACCGTCTATCGCTCTCTTACAAACCTAAACAGTCTCATACCATCCACGTCTAGGCACTTACCTGCATGTCGAAAACTCAAGTCCACGCAAAAATCTACACCCAAATGTTTGGATTGTCTTCATTCAGAATTATCAAAATGTGCTTCACAATTAGCTACAGGATCAATAGGGAGGTTAGGGGTCGGGGGAGGGATGCTAACTTAATGTTTCTATAATGGGTCATTTGAAGCGTGGAATTTCTTATTAAATGTATTAGACTTATTAGCAAATAAAACGTTTTGTTATTTTGTAAAAATTACTTTCAAATAAAGAGCTCCGATGGTACATGATGTAAGCACGGGGCTGTTAAGCAAAAAGCTGGTGGTTGGATGGCAGCGGGTGATTATCTTTCAAATAAAGGGAACCTGATGGGCTTTGGAAAACTGTGAGGTATCTCAAATTATTCTGTAAATGTGAATATACTGAATAAAATTCAAGAATGGGGAAATGCTCACGTTATCATTTCATGTGATATAATAAACATATTTAATAATAAATGTTTATTTCTTCTATAAACTAGCTAACTAGCTGGGTCTAGAGATCTTAACAACCTATTTGTTTTTTCAAGGTTCCCATAAGACACTTCAGGCAATATTTCACCCACTCCCCAAAGTAAAACAGTGCCAAAGCCAATGAAAGCACATGCCAGTAGACTCCTGACATTTGGGACCGGAGACTTTTTCTTGTCTTGCGTGCTGTCCTGTGAGTTGTCAGGCCCTTAGCCTCTTCCCACTAAATGCCAGTAAAAACCACAGCATTAGAAAAATGATCCAGGCAAACAGTGTCCATTTTCCTGATGTTCTATTTCCTTTCTGATTACCTGACATCTTACACGAATACAAATTCCAGAAAACAGTTGGTTACACTTACTTTCTATTATAAGTACAAATAGTAAACTTAATCGGACTAATATTGCAAAGCAACAATAAAAAGGGTCAAAGAATCAAATACATAAAAGATAAGGTGGAAATCAACCTTCATCACAATGAAAATACTATTCAAATATGCAACCGTGCTGTTAACACTTACCTAGATTGTGGTTTGTTTTCACGTTGCCCAGGGTGTTCATGCTCAGGTCAATGGATTTTTGTTGGCCTCATAGTGCCAACTTAAAATGATCCATACCAGTGAGGGTACTATGCTCAATAGTAAACAATCCTACCAGTTTGGACTAGAACTACATCTCATCTTTATTTTTTGTAATCACTTAAATTTGAGCCATGTTAAAATTATAGTCCCAGAAGATGGATGGCAGAGAGATGACCACCAAATTACTTGCACTTAACCAAGGTTAAAATATTCATTAAGGATAACTAAATGCAGATTTTAATTTTTTTCACATTCTAATTTCATTTACAATGTTTTTATACCCAGACACAGAAATTAAATGCAAAACAGAATTGCAAAACTCTTGATTCTAGCTTGTAACTTAAACGCTCCTGTGTAAGCCTTTTACAGTAGATTCCATTTTCAAAATCTAAGTACAAAGTTTTTTCCGCAAAGGATACCAGTGTTACCAACAAATAATGGTATTAGAAGTGATTTTCCTTTTCGTTTTGCTTATGATTTTAATTTTTCTGGTGTTTATATTTTCTAACCTTAAAGAAGTTACTTTTTCCTACCAATTTTTTGCCAGTTTATAGCCTACCAAATAGGACTTTGGATAATTGCTAGCACTAATCTTATGTCCTGGGGTTTATTTTAAACTATTCTACAGTTCTCAACCTTCCTAATGCCATGACCCTTTAATACAGTCTCATGTTGTGGTGACCCCCAACCATAAAATTATTTTCGTTGCTACTTCATTACTGTAATTTTGCTACTGTTATGTATCATAATGTAAATATGCAGTGTGTATTTTCATTAATACAAATTGAACATAAAGCAGTGATTAATCACAAAACAATATGTAATTTTATATTGTGAAATATTTTCTAATTACAAATAAATGAAATTTTGTTTTGAAGCGTAGCATAACATGGGTAACAGTCTTAATATAACAGCAGTAACTACATTGCTACATTTTGTGACAGTGTGCATAAAAAGCCAACAACAGCGCGAAGGTTGAGATCGCTTCTTTCTGACCAGGTCAGAAATGTTCGGGGCAGTCTTCACCAGCACAACGAACATCATCTTCCACAGCAAGTCTACTTCTGTATTTAGACTTGATAACCAACAAGCTGGAAACTCTGTTTCACAAAGATATGTTGTTGGAAATGGAAGAAGGCGCAACACAGTCTCAGACAGAACAGGATATGACTGCAAACACTCGATCCAGAATTTTGTAACTGGCATTGCAGTCAAATCAGTTCTCGCTGCATCGCTGTTAATAAGTTCAATGAACTCCTCTTGTGCTGTCTCAGGAACATGTTCAACTTTGACTGTGAATGGGCTTCTGGCAAGTGCAAATAGGGTGTCAGGTAGATTTGGAAAGTATGATGAAATTTCGTCTGCAAGCATGTGCGAGTATTCTTTCACAGAAATTATCATTGTAAGCCTTCTGTCTGGTTCAATGCCATGTTCCTCAAAGAAAGCAGATAAGGTAGGCAACATGTACATTTTATTTTCATCTTTTTTTTTTTTTTTGACAAAGCGGAGTTTCATTTAGAATGATCGGATCTTTTCAGACAAATCGAGGCATGTTGCATTTGGTCCTTGCACTGATAAATTTAACTCATTCAAGATGGCAACCAAATAAGCTATTTTCTGCAGTTCCCTTTAATCATTGAAAATTGTTTCGAACTGTGGTCTTGCTTTCTGATTAAAAAAACGTTTTGAGTTCATCACGAAACTCAAAAACACGTTTTAAAACTTTTCCTCTCAACATCCGTCTCACTTCAGTGTGAAACAGCAGAGCATTGTTGGGCGCATCCAACTCGTTGCACAGTTGCAAAAACATCGACTGTTTAAAGTGCTCGCCTTTACAAAATTGACAGAACTTATGACGCTTTTCATTACTTCTTGTAACTCTTGTGGCAGCATCTTCACTGCTAATATTTGCTGATGCATCTTAGAGTTCCGATGACTTTTGGTGACTCAGATCAACATCCTAGCATAGCTGGAGCACCATCTGTGCAAACACCACAAACCTTTTCCCAAGAGACCTTATGCTCTTTCAGAAATGAACCAACTGTGTCAAATACATCACGTGCAGTAGTTGTCATTTCAAGAGGTTTGCACAAAAGAAACTTCTCTTTAAAGTCACCATCGTTAATATATCTCATGTAAACTGGTAACTGTGAACAGTTTGCAACGTCTATAGATTAATCAAGCTGGATGCTAAATATTGGAAGTGGAGCTGAAAAAATTTCATAACAAATAAGCACATTGTGGTTTCTCAATTCCTGCTGTAATTACTGAGGTAAAACCATCCTATAAAAGATTCTCATTATATTTTTTTCTTAATGTTCTTCTCTACACGATCCATTGTAATGGGATGGTTTTCTAATGAAAATAATATATAACAATAGCTTTAATAATACAAAAGATGATACATGGCATAGTTCAGTCAATATAGCTCATTAAAGTTTCCTATCATTTATCACTGTTTATTTTACATACCTATTACTATCACAAGAGTATTCACAAGGGCAGTATTCACATCAACCACAGTTGAACATAAAAAGACTGATCCGCATCCAGATTAAGTTCCCATGGTACAGATATATATACGTATTACAGTAGTTGATTTTATAGTACGATTTTACACTCACACAGCAATAATTCACGAAATCTCGTTTTACCTCCAATGCTGCTGCTTTCAACACAGCAGCTGCTTTCTACCCAGTAGCTGCTCTCTACACGTGATTGGTCTGCATAAGTACATTATGGTGCCAACCGTCACACACACCTGTATTTGTCCGGGTGTATGTGATGGGGTTGGTGCAATGATGTCATCATGCCTGGTACTATATGGGCGCATCTGCATGTGGGCAGACGCGCCTGGAGACGGATAGAGCAGTGTCTCGGTTCCTAAAACCATCAGAAAGATGTGTTTTCCAATTGTCTTAGGCGACCCCTATGAAAGGGTCCTTCAACCCCCAAAAGGGTCACGACCCACAGGTTGAGAACCAATGTCCTACAGTAATTTTTGTTAGATACTTCCTATTTTAAAAAAGCACCCTGCTGAGTTGACTCCAACTTCTGGCGCCCTCTGTGGCAGAGTAGGACAGCCCCATGAGAATTCCCAGTGGCGATTTTTATAGGGGCAGTATCAACCATTCTTTTCCCGAGCAGCTGATGGGTTTGAATTGCTGACCTTCACATTAGTAGACACATTAAACCCACTCTTTACTTCCTGTTAACCAGAGTTAAAGTGCGACCTTAGATAAATTTACTTTAAAATAATGCAAAAAAGGAGCCCTGGTGGTCAAGTGGTTATGTGATGGGCTGCTGGCCAAAAGGTCAGTAGTTCCAGACCACCAGCCTTTCCAAAGATGAGGACTTCTACTCCAGTCAGTCTCAGAAACCCACAACGGCAGTTCTATGCTGACCTACAGGGTTGCCAGGAGTCTGAACTGACTCCATCAATGGCAGTGAGCTTTTTTGGTGCACAAATGTTACTTGTTCTATTTCCAGGTTTGACAAAATGTAAAATTCCTTTCTAAGAGGGTATATGCAATGCATTTTTCGGAAATTCCATATTGTGTTGATTCAGATTTCAATTAGTCTAGTTTTGGTAATCCTACAAACAGCAAAGCTGATTTTTTTCTTGGGACTAGCTAACAAACACATCAAGAGCAAAAATTTAGGTTTTAATTGATAAAATGTCCTTTAATCAAGGACATACCATAAAAAAAAAAATACATAGTCATGAGTTTCTCATTACTTCAGCCTTTCAATGTTCAGAATAAATGTACCCACATAATAATGAAGTCCATGAAAAGATTATATTCTTTTATTGTTTGTTCATACATGTTGCTTCAACTTTCAATAATGAAAGTCAATAAATTTGATTCCTTGATCATAAAAACTTGCTTTACACAATATTTACATGTTGCCAAAGTCTACAGTCATACAAACATCACTAGGATTTAACTGACTTTGCACGGCACTATCATACACAAGGGAGTTAATCAAGTAACGCACATTCAAAGATTAAATGTCGATATGCACAGTGTGTTTGGCACTGTTCATCTAGATCATGAAGCCTTAACATTCATAAGCCTTATCCCATACGTTGTAATTTGTGATTTACATCAAGAACCAACTTTCAAATTTTTACATAAAAGTTTTAAGAAACATAAAACAGTCTGACTTGGGAATGAAATTCAAACCCTCCAAACTCTTGCCATACTCCAAATAGCTGCCATCTATTAAAGCAGGTTGCAGGAAGTCCCTGGATTACAAACGAGTGCCATTCTTAAAGCAGTCTTAAAGATGAAGTTGTATGTACTTTGGAAATTAGGTAAAGTTCCTATCTAATGACAGTCAATGTTTTAGAATACAGTATATAGTGCATCTTTTCAAGCATATAAAAACAAATAGTTTCAGGATCACTAAAACATCTTTAACATATGGTAAGAATCATATTTTGATGTGTCAGAAGATAGCACCCATTTACCTCAAAATGTTTAATAGGTTTTTGGGGGGAGGGGACAGGGGGTTCATAACCACAGGTTGAACTAAGTCAGAGTTCCACAACGGGGACTAACTGCCTGTATTCAATTTGGTAATTTTCCCATGGTGGGGGGTTTCAAGAAAAAACATAATATCCTTCAGTACATATGAAAATGAACAACTCTTCTTTAAAATGATCCATTTTGGGAGCCTACACGAGGGAGGCATAACTTGTAACGCTTCTGGGAAGAATTGGCAATCAATGCTATTAAGGGTAGGGATCTTGTACTAGAAGCAGAGTCCATGAAAAGATGTGGGGCACCTCTATCTGACTTCCGAACCCTTAGTGGCTTAACTGAAGGGTTTCCTCGTAGGAACAGAACATGCTCAAACCAGACCTTAAGAGATTTTAAAAATAGGTATTCAATACTACATTATTATAAAATAGGAGAAAGTGAGAGTACAAAAGATCCAACTATTAAACCTCTAGCAACTTGGGTGAAACCCCTGTGTCATTTACTTCACTAATTTAATTTTAACTTATATTAAATTATCTTCTTTTCAGTAAGGTCTGAAATTTAATTCAATAATGTCATATAAGCCTCAGAACATTTACATGACATTTATATCTCTCATATTCATGAGGCATGGCCTCAGTCTTACACTAAGGCAAGGACCAGCCTCCCCAGATCACAGGTCCCAGGACAGAGAAGCACAAGGAACAGGTGCTGGTAAGGAGAGAGGTTGTAGCTGTACAAAAAATACTCAGCAATAAACTATGACTTTAAGAAAAAGGTCTTATACAGAGGTCTATGAAAGGACTGAGTGCAAAGTAATGTCACTGAACCAAAATTTAGTTCAATCATTTTTATTTCAAGTGTATTTTGAAAATCATAAATGGAGTTTTCTCATCCAAAGTCAAAACACGTGAATTCCTCTTAGCTTCAGATGTGACAAGATTCCAGGCATGCGCTCCAAATCCAGTGCTCGTTATCTTGCAATCAATGCTATTAAGGGTAGGGATCTTGTACTAGAAGCAGAGTCCATGAAAAGATGTGGGGCACCTCTATCTGACTTCCGTCTGTTAGTTTAACCTAGACTTTAAAGTATTCCACTTGAAAAGCACACGTGAGCACTGACTGTCTGTGTGCCAATAGGAGGGGCTTAAAACAAGCCATAATTATAAAGAATGGTTTTGGTGCAAGGACCAGCAGTAAGGGAAGAAAGGTTTGAACACCTTTCAAAAAAGTGTTTATTCATTTTAAAAACAACAGAAACAGTGCTGCTCTTGATCAGAAGAGAACCTATAAAATGCATGTAAATTACTTTTTTGTAGACTTTGGTAAAATTTTACTCCCCTCACACGCCTAAATCACATTCACATAAGTTTTTTTGCAAAGTCACTGTCAGGAATGACTGAGTGACGACCGAGTCTTCTCCGCAGAGCCCCACCCCACATGCGCCATGCCACAAGGCACAGGTTACTTCTGAGGACAAGCGCTGCCTGGGGGATGCCCATCAAATGCTCGTTTTAAATAAAAATAGTTAATGAAAAGTTTTCAATATCATGTTTGGACAGTATCTAGAACATTGTCCACAAGCAAAACAAACATAACATTAAACCTTTCGTTTCCATTTTAGTCAATCTTATTTACTTTTTCAAGCTATTTTATTTTTCTGTCTAGTATTTCAATGTTTTTCAGTTATGCACTTCAGTGTATTAACACTGTTCTTCTAAAATTATCTTCACAACCCAGGCCAGACTCAGAGCAACTCTCTCAAGTTACATGTCTGACCATAACGAAGAAACAGAAATGGAAATGGACGGTAAAGGTAGGTATACCCGCAGCTCTGACTCTGCAAGTTTCTAACATGTGAGCAAAAGAGAACTTTGGAGGTTCCTCAGAACTAGTATGCTTCCAAAGAATGCAGTCAATATATTATCCTAAAAATTAAAGTTTGGTCACTAGGAAAGACTGAACAAAACCTATCTCCATGCCCCCACATCCACCCTGAAACAATCACCAAACAGAACTAATCATCCCATCCTCTCCCCACAAAACAGGGAAGTAGTTGGGGTTGACATTTTAAATCCTGAAAATTCCTGTGATTTGTTCAAAGCTGCAGGTCTATGCATTTCCTTCTTTAGTACTTCCCTCAGTTGTAAGTCCATTTTCATACACACATGCACATACGCACGCACACACACACACACACACACACTCTCTCTCTCTCTCTCAAGTAAGACACTTTTTGTTTGTTGATAAATTAGGAGGGCTGTGGGCTGGGCATGTACAGGACTTCACAGGTGCCTTGTAAACATCAGTCATTTGGGTCCTTTTCTCCAGAAGCCTGGAATCCCATGACGTGACCAGGGATCACTACTTCCCCTGCCGCTGCTCACAGGAGGCATACTGACAGAGGGCAGAGAAAAAGTCCTCGTAGCTGATGTTTAGGTGAGAAGGCAAAGAGCTGAAATGAAAGAGCAGAAGGAAAAATGCAGTTAGTTGATATACTTGTCATTTGGTTTGGAGAAAACAAAGGGATAATAACCAAAAAGAAGTTAAAGACAGAAAAAAATCAATTACGAAAGCATTGTTGTTGCGTGCCTTCAGGTTGATTCCAACTCAAGCCCAAACATTCATACCACAAAACTGGGAAACCGTTCAAGGAAAAAGTAGCCTGCCATCCCTTCCACAAGAGAAAAGCAACTGCGAGTGAGTTTGAAAAGGCGTCCTCAAACTACGGCCCGCAGGCCACATACGGACCGCCAAGGACATTTATCAGGCCCGCCGGGTGTTTTTGCCCCGTTTGTTTTTTTATTTCAAAATAAGGTATGTGCAGTGTGCATAGGAATTTGTTCATTGTTTTTTTTTTAAACTACAGTCTGCCCTCCAACAGGTCTGAGGGGCAGTGAACTGGCCCCGTTTAAAAAGTTTGAGGACCCCTGAGTTAGAGATTCAGAACCTGCTACATGTCTATCAGCTGCCGTGGGTTCTGACTCATGCATACCCCACGCGCTGCAGCCTCTCCGCCAACATTCCGACAGCCAACCTTTCGCTTAGCAGCTAAGTGTAGAACTGTTGGCAGCGCCCACCCAAGGGCTAAGCCTAAATTAATGTAAAGTTTGGGATTATTTACAGTGGTCTTGCTCAAATCCACTTTAAGAACTCACCTTTGTCAGAATAAAGCCAAATACTGCCTGTGCTGGTCATGAAAGCCAAAGTTAACACAAGGCAGAGCAACACAGCATCCCCACATGGATAACACCACACATTATGGTGACCAAGCAGAGAACGCCCAGTACAAAGGGCTTCAATTCACCATGTTGTGGGAAAGGCCTTTATCTTGTTCTATTTTGAGAAGCCCTCTTTGTAGTGTGAAGGCAACGCTTTAAAGACAAAGTGAACATACATATGGCCAGAGAGGTCCCTTCAAGTATTTAAAAGACCATGAAACAAAATCTCCAATTTATACAGCTTTATAATGAGGCTCTAGAAAAGCTGTTATCAGCCAAATGCATGGTCAAAGTACAAGAGTCACACGCAGAGTCCAACGGTCAGGTGCACCCAACAAGAAAGAACTGAGCTCCCGTGAGGGAACTCCTACCTGACTGTGAGGCTCTCCACCCAGGTCTCTGTCTCTATCTTCCTTTGACTACCAAGAATTCTGGAACATGGTACACGTTCCTCCTTCCATCCCTCTAGCATCCTTCCAAACCCCCTGCTGTCCACTTCTGTCTCATTCACTCTACTGAAATGATTTCTCCTAAGAACACCCTACTAGGTGACACTCTTGCTAACACTTGCTTCAAATGACCTTCTCGGTTTGCCCCCTTGTCAACAGTCTCATGGGCCACCAAGCCTTTTAGCGTCACTACCCAGCCAGTGCCTCCAAAGCTGTTTGGTTGCTTCCATTTGTTCTGTTGGGAGTTCAGGCCCGTTCTGCTCTATGTGATGAATAAGACCAACTCCCTGCCAGCGCTGTGCTTGGTCTAATGAAGGGTGACAAATATTGAGCACCTCTCCCTATAATGTAAGCATTACATCACATACATGTACACAGGTCCATGAGACAGCGTGTTGTATGCTAGACAGTTGATTACAACTCAATGTAAGGAAAACCAAAATCCTCACTACTGGACCAGTAAGTAAGAACATGATAAATAGAGAAGAGGTTGAAGTTGTCAAGGATTACGCTTGCTTAATCCACAACCAATGCCCATGGAAGCAGCAATCAAGCAATCAAAAGAATGTTGCTTTGGGTAAATCTTCTGCATAAGACCTCTTTGGAGTATAGAAGAATATTAATTTGAGGACAAAGGCATGCCTGACTCAAACCATGGTACTTTCCATTGCCCTACATGCATGTGAAAGCTGAACACTGAAGAAGGAAGACCAAAGAAGAATCGATGCATCTGAATTGTGGTGTCAGAGAAAAAAACTGAAAGTACCATGGATGACAAAAAGGGCAGACCAATCTGTCTTAGAAGGAGGGTAGCCAGTGATGCTGGGAAGCAAGGTTGGCAGGACTTCACTGTAGTACATACTTTAGACAGACTGTCAGGAGACCAGTCCCTGGAGAAGGTTATCATGCTTAGTAAAGAGAGAGAGAGAGAGATTCTCTGTGTGTGTGTGTGTGTGTGTTGGGGGTGCGGGGTGGGCAAAGGAAAGGAAGACCCTCAAACAAGATGGGCTGACACCGTGGCTACAGCAATGGCCTCAGGCATAGGAGCGACTGTGAGGACAGGCCATGACTGCACAGGTGGTGTTCTGTTGTCCACGGGCTGGCTATGTGTCGGAACCAACTTGAGAGCACCCAAGAACAACAAAGCTCTCGTGTGGCCAGTTCCATCACCATGTCTTTAAAATGCACGCTCATTTTCCCTGCCCCACCCAGCTTTTCCCAACCAACCCCGTCCTTCCCCTCTTCCCCATCACACAATCAGACCCAGGTCACAGCTCTTCTACAGAATCAACAACTCTATTCAACAGGGTATCTGTTACTTCTGATCTCCCATGGCAATGAGTGCCAATACCACACTTTGCACAAACATGGCCCCTTGTGTCAAACTCACATTTGTCTTTATTTTACCACTAAATATCATGAAATACACAATGGATTCTGCATTACAATTCTCTGGGAATGCCTACTACACGTAATCTAGTGCTAGGATCAAATAACATGCTGAATTGATTCCAGATTAATACACTTCTAATTACTTACATAATCTCAGTCAATCTGATGTGCCAGGGAAGAAAGCCTAATGTGCTGTCCACAGGACCAAACTTCAATACCAAATCAGGGTCGGGGAATCCATTTGAACCTTGGGGATTAAGAAACATATATGAACTGATTTTGCATTGCTTACTTTAGAAAAATTAAATCACCATGATCGCTATCGTTATTCAAATTGGCTTATGGTTTGAGCCAACGCTTTGAGCATATCCATTTTCCTCAAAAGTTTTAACTGCATGTGTATGTATATTTCCATGCCCCACTGACCCCACTCCAAAACATATATTTCAAAACCATTTCCAAATGTGGGAATGTTTTTAAAAATCCAATGAAATGGACTGATAACCTGATACAGGGGTAACTGAACAGCCACCCAAAGCCTTATGCAACCAAAAAGCCAAACCCAACTGCCATCAATTCAATTCCAATTCATAGTGACCCTACAGGGCAGAGCTGAACTATGCCCTAAGGTTTCGGAGGCCGTACAGTTGGGTTTTTTTTAATAAGTCATTTTATTTGGGGCTCGTACAGCTCTTTTTAACAATCCATACATGAGGTAGTTTATTGTGCCAACCTGGCCGATAAACACGTGGGGTTAATTGAAGGGCGGAGGGATAAATGGCTCAGTGAGCCTCGCCTTTCTAGTTCTCAGGTTTCTTGCTTTCTGATGATCGGACCAGGGTGCAGCTGCCTTAGCCAGTTCCCTGCTTTAGCTGGCAAGGCTCACTTCCTGCAAGACAACCCTCAGGAGAAGCCACATGGACCCACCCCAATGCAGCTCTGGGTGCGGAGCACCCGTGTGGAGACCCCTGGCAGCGCTGAGATGCTAACACATTCACTGACTCAGCTTTCCTCCTGCAGTCGGCATCATTGCGTCTGTTTTGTGAGATGGAGGAGAACTTTGTGGACTGGTGTCGGACATATGGGTTAATGGGTAAATGCTGGACTTGTGGGCTTGGGCAGCACTGGGTTGGGATGTTTTCTTGATGCGCACTTAACCTTTATATAAAACTCTCTTATACGTAAGTTTCTGTGGATTTGTTTCTCTAAAGTACCCAGACTAATACAATACACATATTTTACTTTTAAGCACAAACTCAAACAGTGGGAGTTGAATAATCCAAATCCAATTTGCTCAGGCAACTGCAATTAGACTGAGTTGGAGTCCAGCCTTGGTGTGGGTTGGGATGTAAAACCACAATGTGTTTTTCTATTTAACATTGTCTAATGTATGTAATTTGCTCTCCTACTCCTTGTCCTCGTTATCTTACTCTCTGCCACTGAGCTGATGCCGACACACAGCAATCCCTGAGTTTCTGAGACTGTGACTCTTCTTTTTTTTAAATTTATTTTTTAAATCATTTAATTAGGGTTTCATGAGACTCTACATCTTTTTAGGAACAACAAGTTTCATCTTTCTCTGAAGGAATGGCTGGCGGATTTGACCTTACAGATAGCAGCTGAAGGTACAACCTACCATGCCAACAGGGTTCATTAAGCACTGTGACCCGCTGCCATTGAGTAGATTCTAACTCACTGTGACCCTACGTATAGTTTCCGAGGCTGCAAACCCTTACAAGAGCAGACAGCCTTATCTTTCTCTCATGGAGTGGCTGGCAGGTTTGAACCATCGACATTGTAGTCAGCAGTCCAAAGACTAACCCACAGTGCCCCAGGCTCTTAAGCTCAGTGTACACTCCAAATGCTGTTAATGTTTCAAGACTCAGGTTACACATTTTCTTTGCATCCTGGGAAGGACACTGCTCTAGGATTTAACCGGCTATTCCCAATCAAATCATTGAGATGAAAAATATTTTCTATTCCTCTCCTACTCTCCCCCATGCCCCTTATTTTACACGTAAGAAGTCAGAAAGGCCCACATAAAAATAGACATACCAAAGAAAATGTTTTCAGTTCTTCAGAGCCCAATCCCCCTCAGGGGGAAAGGAGACAGAACATGGGTCTCAGTAAGAATACATCCCATTTTTCAATTTGTTTTACAAACTGAATTCCATGAGACACTTGGCTTGAGGAAGAAGGAACGAGGGCATTTCAAATGCTTAGAAATAAAGCTGGCACCAGAAAATAAAAAGCATACTGCAGTTTGAAAGGCCAAAGTTCTCAATTTCTGATAACTCAGTTCTGCCACTCATTTGCTTGTCACGCAAGTGCTGCAGGTCCTGGAGTTAAGTCAAAACACTGGGTAAGGCAGGTGCACCCAGCAGTAAGTAAGTATTTCCACAACTGAGTTCCTTTTATAGTCCGCCCGAAGTGGATTATAATAGTCAGTAGACCCAGAAGAAGAACATATATTCCTCTGCACGCTAAAAAGAAATCCTCCTCAGTAAAAATATTACAATAACCAAAAAGGAACTTCCAGCTCTGGTGATGTATCGGGGTCTTGAGTCTTGGAACCAGATCATGAGGAACAACAACGACAACAAAGAACATGCATCAGAAGGACCAAAACAAACCACTGAAGAGCACAGACCGCGTGCCAGCCGCCATCCCAGTGGGGGAGGGAGTATAGTAAGTCGATACCCGGTCAATAAGCTCTCTAAACATCCATGGTTGACTGGGAAAGTATAAAATGAAGGAACGAGAGGAGGAAATCGGGGTGGGGAAAAAGAGCACTAAAAAATGAATATCCATTAGCAGTATTAGAAAATACTTAGGAATAAATTTAAGTAGACTTATACCCTCAAATTAAGAACATATTGCTGAGAGAAAAATTTACCTAAATAAATGGAAAGATGTCCTATGTTCATTAATTAGAAGACGGAATATTGAATCAATTGAATGTTGAATCAATAGTGAATCAGTTCAACACTGATTCAATGTCAAGATGGCGATTCTTCCCATGTTGATCTACAGCAGTCTATCAAAAGACCAGCCTTTTTTTTTTTTTTTTTAAAGAAATGGGCAATTTATATTAAAACGTAATAGATTTTCTGAAGGCAAAGTAATTTTGGGGGGAAAAAATAAAATGGTGAAAGACTTACAGGGTCCAGAAATAAACCCACATATTTATGGCCATCTGATTTTCAACCAAGTAATAAAAATGGTGTTTTGTCAAATAGTTAAAAACAAAAAACAACTAGTATCCTTTACCTAACACCTTTAAGGAACCCCTTAAAAGACACCATTAGTAAAAAGATAAGCTGAAGACTAAGAAAAAAGTAAAAAGTATTGGCAGACATGAAAAAATAAGAATAAAAATTTAGTATTTATCAAGGGTTCATGAGGGAGGGGGGCAGGGAGAGAAGGAAAAAAATGAGGAGCTGATACCAACAGCTCAAGTAGAATGAAAATGTTTTGAAAATGATGATGGTCACAAATGTACATACATATAGATATGAATGTATGTATGGACTGTGATAAGAGCTGTACGAGCCCCCAATGAAAATTATTTTTTTTAAAAAAAGAAAAAGGTAAGCTGAAGACTAAGAAAAAAGTATTGGCAGACATGAAAACATATACTAATGTAGTATTTATCAAGGGTTCATGAGGGAGGCAGGGGAGGGAAAAACTGAGTTGATACCAAGGGCTCCAGTAGAAAGCAAATGTTTTGAGAATGATGATGGCAACATAGGTACAAATGTGCTTGACACAATGGATGTATATGTATGGATTGTGATAAGAGTTGTAGGAGCCCCCAGTAAAATGATTTAAAAGAAAACAGTATTGTCACATCATATAAAGTATCTGCATCACATATATAAAGAATTCTTAAAGCTCAATAATAAAACAACCATTACACTAAAACCAAGCCTGGTATTTGAAAGAACTCCTTAAATCTCAGACACATAACAATTATAAATTAACAAATTTCTTTTTTAAATCAGGCTCTATATTGTGAAAGGTGCCTTTTGGTACAGTAACAAAAACACGTCGGCGTGCGCACAGAGGACTTACTAAGTAGACTGTCTAACATCGCTACATCCAAATCAGTAGACCGCTTGTGCTGCTGGGCGACTGACTGGCAAAAGTCCCGCGCAGCTCGCACGATATCTGCTTTGCCGTCTTCTGGGGACAGCACCTTCACTGACAACTGGCAATTTAAAACTGGAGGGAACAACAAACAAGATATTAAAAAATAGAAGGAAAAAACATCTTCGGACATACTTTATGAGATACTAAGCTGAGGACAAAATAGTAACTATTTCTCAGAGACAAGAATCTAAATTTTCAATTTCTGTAGTAAAATGCCCTTAAGCTACTCTCCTCCAAAACGGCCCCAACACCTCAAAGCACACATATGTATGTGTGACGGAGGAGGCTTCAAAAAATTTGTAGAAAAACTGAACTGAAAGACAATGGAATTTTCCCACAATCTTTTGAAGCACCTCGTATATGCTACCTTCTTTTCAAAATGTTCAAATGGACATTGTATATGTGAATAAATTCTCTAGAAATTAGGAATTTTAACAACAGGCTAGGTAAAACCTCCATACATCAGAAATGCCATCCCCAGTCATAACACAGTGGTTACATAGGAGAGAAGGGAACACGTTAAGTCTGTAGGGGAAAAATGTAATATGCTTCAATAGAAGAATAAGCACTATCCAAAGCACACACGTCCACCCAATTCTGATCTATAAAAGCTATTTTACAGCCTGGCTTATGTGTTACATGAGAGTCAGAGTGATTCTTTCCTGAAAATTATCTCAGCACAGTCAAGAGAGAAAAGTCTCATAAACCTGCTGATTATACAGTGACAGTAAGGGCTAAAAGAGCAAAACGAGTGAATGAAAGACAAAATTTGTCTTGGACACACATCTATATGTACTACATATTCATCTTACCTTGATCATCTTTGTCATTACTATTTGCAAACTCTGGTGAATATTTGGAAGAATCTAAGCCCAGAAGTTCCTGTTGCTGTTTTAAAATTTCATCCATTAATCTGGAATTATTTCTTTTGAAAATGCCTTAAACAGAAAAAAGAAGTAGGTAAATCAGAACTAGGTTCATTTATCCTTCTCAATAATCAATGCATGCTTGTTGTGAAAATAACACTAGACCCTGAGCCAAACCTGCTCTAAATGAAGCAGGAAGAACCAACCCTAGACCAGAACCTAAAAGAAAAACATAACAGAATTTTGTTAATGCACAAGTTTGTCTACTGGCTACAGTCAATAATGGAGAAGAATAACTATTTAGTTTCTGTTATTATGAATATGACAGATATTTGGACCTAAAAAGGAGTTTTATCAGATCACTTACCTTAAGATATATATTAAGAGACAGACTCAATATTCTTAAGGGATTTATCCAAGAAATGATAAATTGCAACAGTGGTCTGGAACCCGATCTTCCTGACTCCCGCTCTAATGTACATTGCCTGTACACTTACTATATAGGTTAGATACTATCACCTCATTTTGAATACTTTTTTTTTAACTCTTGAGAGTAAAAATGAACTAATATGAATTATGTAAAAATGTAGATAATGAGACCGAGGTAACCAATAACATTTAGCAAATTCAACAGAAAAATGTGCACTGTCTATAGCACACACTTCTACCGACCAAATTCTGATTCTGATTCTATGGAAAAGCATGCACACAAAAACTGGCACAAAAAGATCTTCCAACTCTACACTAAGAAATTAAAACCATAGCCAATATCATATAATCAAGAATGACAGAGGAAGCCCGGAACATATATTTTATATAAAACCCCAAAAATAAGCAGTAGGCTTTTGGCTACTTTCAAAGAGACAACTTTAAAGTTTTTGGATCAGGTGGACCTACCTATTGTGTGTTCTTGGTCAAGTCTGACTTGAAAGCAGCTCATCATATAAAGGAAAGAATATAACAACTATATAAAATAGATCACAAAATACGTTGCCCGCAAGTGCCAAGTTGGTAACGCAAAGACAGAACAGCCCTTTGCTGGGGGAAGGCTTTGCAACACTAGCAAGATCTGAGCTGACATGATTGTTGAGAGCAAGTAATGTGATGCAAGTAAAATGAGGCCAGTTAAAGGGTGAAAAGCAAGGAGAAAATTCAGATAAGAACAATGTTTAAGGTAGTTTGGAAAGCTCCAAAAATTGTTTTAGAAAAAAAAAGGGTAAGGAGATATGACTAATTAGGCCCTAACTTTTGCTGCATTTTGCCTACTGACGAGCAATATGGAAATGTATGCAAATTTATTTTTAGGAAAATTAACCTGAAAATTAAAATATAGAAAGGACCAGACAGCAAAATATTGTAGCCCATACATCTGATGAGGCAATGGAAAAAGATTCACTGTAAAAGAAGAATAAAGAGAAGATGGCGCATGACTACTTACGTATAAGGCGAGTTTTCAGCACATTTTTTATGCAGTTTTTAAGGTAAAAGTTAGGTGCCTCGGCTGATATTTGGGTCAGCTTATACTGGAGTATAGACGGTGGATAGCTAGGTGAATGTGGAAAATGCTATAGCTTTAATCTTGGGAAGTATAATTTTGTTTTTTGCTGTTTTATATCTTTTTTAAGTGAGGAAAATATCCTCTGAAAGTCTTCTTAAAACCAGAGTAATCCAAATCCCACTGCCACATCAAGTCACTTCCGATTCACAGGGGCCCGCCAGGGCAGAGCAGAAGTAAACCTTTGCCAGCATAGAGCGTCTCTTTGTGCCCGCACACACTCAACTGCAATGGGTATATGCAATCAAATGAGCAACAGGCCCTACAGATGAGATAAGCACCCCAGTAAGCTGATGCTCCTGGAGAAGGAATTCTGAAAAGGAGGGTAAGAATGGTGGCACAACTCAAAGAGTACAATATCCTGAATTACATGTAGAAATTTGTATGTATTCTCAACAAAAATAAAGTACATATTTAAAAAGTAAGGAAATTCTACAAAGAAACTGAGTTTAAAGGAAAAATATATTTTGACTGCACAACTCTTCTTGATGTGATTGAACTAAATTGTATGGGATGTGACTATATGCCAATTTTCATGCCAATAAAATTGCTGGGGGAAAATCGCTACCGTAAATACTCAAGTATAAGCCAACCTGAGTATCAGCAAGGCACCTAATTTTAGCACAAAAACAGCACTAAAAATGTGCTGGAAAACTCAGCTTATACACGAGTATACATAGTAATTTTTATACTATGAGGATAAAATTTGGTGCCCCTCATCAATAAATATTATCATTATGTTGTATGCTGTGAGTCGATTCCAACTCATAGAACTATACAACACACTAGACCCACCCCATAAGGCTTCCTAGGTTGTAATCTTAGAAAGGAGCTCTAGTGGTGCAGTGGGATAAACACTGGGCTGTTAATCTCAAGGTAAGTGGTCATAAAACAACCAGCTGTGTCGTGGGGGGGAAGTTGATGCATCCTGTAAATATATTCTTGGAAAACCTACATAGGGTCATTATGAGTCAACGACTGATAGCAGTGAGCTAATCTTCATCAAAGCACAGATGGCAAGACTTGGCATTACATACTTTGGACAGGTTATCAGGAGGGACCAGTCCCTGAAGAAGGGATTTAGCTAAGTAGAGGGTAATTGAAAAAGAAGACTGTCCATGAGATGGACGGACCCAGTGGCTGCACAATGACTGCTGAGGACAATGTAAGCTAAACCAGGGAGCATTTTGCTCAGTTGTACATAGGCTTGCTGTGAGAAGCACCAGCTGACAGAATCTAACCACAGTCTTTATAGGAAGGGAGCAAGAGTAGCTGGTGAGTTTGAACCACTTAAGTTTCAGTTACCAAGCAAGCACTAATAACCACTATGCTACCAAGGATTGATCCTTCATACCCTCAAGTTCAAATTCACAGCCATTGAATCAATGCCGACTCACAACGACCCTATAGGACAGGGTACAACTTCCTCTGTCAGTTTCCAAGACTGTAACTCTTCTCAGGAGCAAAAAGCCCTTGGGGAACCCGTTTGGGAGCTGCTGACCTTGTGGATCGCTGCCAAGCCAGTAACCACGAAGACACTAGGTGAGGGACATTATAATCAATTAGTCTGGGTTGACTAGAGAAACAAATTCATAGACAGTCATATGTGTATAAGAAAGAACAAGAGCAATTGAATATTGAGAAAATGTCCCAGCCCAATCCAGATCAAGTCCATAAACCCGCTATTAGCCCATATGTATGACACCAATCTATAAATTCCTCTTCAGACCCACACAACACATGCAGTGATGCGGAATGCAGGAAGATCACAGGCAGTGCGTAAAGTCTTATGGATCCAGTGGCTGTGGAAGCATCTCAGTGTTGGCAGGGATCTCCACGTGGCTCCTTCAGTTCTAGGGTTCTAGCATAGCTCCATGTGTCTTCTCACAGAGAGTGAGCATGTGTCCTGCCTCCAATGAGCTACTTATCTCCTTAGTGCCTCCAAATGAGGTCATCAAGCTGAGACCTGATCGACAAGCTAAACTCCACCCCTCCACTCTTAAATCTCAAATTGACAACAGATTATGTAACTACCACAGGGACTTAAAGCGAAAGACAGTCAGGACTTCGTATATATCTTATCTCGGTTTTCAAATATTAGCTACATGCCCTCAAGGAGATGGACTGATGGCTGCCAACAATAGGCTCAGGCACAGGTACAATTTGTGAGGATGGCGCAGGACCAGGTTGTGTTTTGTTCCACTGTACATATAGCGTCGCTATGGGTTGGAATCAACTTGAAAGCACCTAACAAGGTACACAAAAAGGGGACCTGAAGAACAAGATGTGACAGATGCCTTTGGGTGTTTAATAACATTCACAAAAGCCACAAAGCCCCTTACCATCAAGCCTATTCTAATCCATAGCGACCCTAAAGGTCGGGCCAGAACTACTCCATAGGATTTCCAAACCCTATCTTTCTCCCATGGAGCAGCTGCTGGGTTCAATCAAATCACCTTCCTTCCTGTTAGCAGCCAAGTGCTTACTTACTATGTCCCCAGGGCTCCTGAAAAAGGTCACTGACCAATGCGAAATGCATATAAGAACAGACAAGGTGCGATGTAGCAACGATGAAAAATACAACTTTCCTCTATTCCTAAATGCTTCCTCCGTCCCCACCCCCAGCCCCACCCCCACTATCATGATCTGAATTCTACCTTGCAAGTCTGGCTAGACCAGAAGATGTACACTGGTACAGATAGGAACTAGAAACACAGGGAATGCAGGACAGATGATCCCTTCAGGACCAGTGGTGCGAGTGGCGATACTGAGAGGGTGGAGGGAAGGTGGGTTGGAAAGAGGGAACCAATTACAAGGATCTATATGTGACCTCCTCCCTGGGGACTGACAACAGAAAAGTGGGTGAGGGGAGACGGACAGGGCAAGATATGACAAAATAATAATTTGTCATTATGATATGACATTATCAAGGGCTCATGAGGGAGTGGGCAGGGGGGAGAGAGGGGAAGACATGAGGACCTGATGCCAGGGGCTTAAGTGGAGAGCAAATGTTTTGAGAATGACAGGGCAATGAATGTACAAATGCGCTTTACACAATTGATCTGTGTATGGATTGTGATAAGAGTCATATGAGCCCCTAATAAGACGATTCAAAAAACCCATTAAAAATAAAGGGGGAAAAAAGAACAGATAACAAAGGACACAGATAATCATAGAACCATAAAGCCCTGCTGAGACAGGACAACTGTAATAACAATGAGATAGTTTATCTCAGATGCCCCTGATGTGGCAACGTCGCAAACAAACAGGCCACTAGTGGCTCAAAAGGCGCCCTGAGCAGGTTACTCACTAGACTGCTAACAGCAAGGTCCGTAGTTGGCCCACCAGCTGCTCCGTGGGGAAAAGATGGAGCTTGCTACTCTCAGAGTTAGCGCTTTGGAAACTCCCAGGGCCAGTTCTACTCTGTCTTATAGGGTCCCTATGAGTCAGGACTGACACAATGGTAGTGAGTTTGGATGTTTATTTTGGGGAGTGGATGACACTTTTGGGTTGCCTC